TGGAGCATCATGTGAAGTTCTACTTTAGCATCGGTTTGACAAATCAGGAAATCTTCATTCTCGTAATTTATTTATTTAAATATACAACTTTATTCTTGTAATGTTATGACTCAATTCTTATAATATTATCAAATCAAACAAATCTCTAGGCTGACCCTAATACTCCGTCTGTATCACATGAAATAATTTAGGCTGTCACCTTCATCCATCAAGCTCGGGGGCGGGACTAGAACCACTTCTATAGAAACCCTGACATCTGATTTGCTGCTTCTCACTGAGAAAACTTCTTCCTGAATTTTCTTATTCTAAAGTCAATATTACTTCAAAAGGGTGTTGCAGTTTATTTACAGTTAACAACTCCAGCCTCTATATCCTTAGTTTGATCTATAAAAAGTTAATAATAGATTGTTAGTCAGTGGGCCAGACTTACATTGATTGTGTTGTGTTTCAGCACAGCAGGATGTGGTGGAAGCTTAATAGATAGAGTTCACACTAAACATATCTGTGTTTTTTATCTAGTATAGGGCTCGCTTATGAAGTTTGTTAGAAAATATACCTTAAAATATCTCTTGTAAAATGCACTACATGACTTTGATCAGAGGATTTTCTGATCTGATGAAGCGGTCAGCTTTTTTTCTCTGCAGATCTTTTGGTTTTTCAATCTGTACCTTGTGAGCATATCTACTGTTTACATTCACCCCTGAGATTTTCTGGACATTTCTCACTGCTTCCATACAACACTGTTGGTGTTTTTCCAACCCACTGGGAAAACGAGACGGTGCAGCAGGTGCTGAAGAAGTCCTGCTGCTGTGGATCTATAAGCACTCTGATGCGTTTTGTCCTTCACATTTTCTACACCTTCTGTGCCGGCTATTGCTACGACCAGAACTTCATACGTTTTAGTAGTTTCCAAGTCTGGATGAGAATAAAAGAATAAATAGAATATGAAAAAAATATATATGTTTACAGACTATCCTGTCCTGTTTTTCTTTATGGTTTTTGTAATTACAAAAAATAAATCCAACCTTCCCTGCATCTTATGCTGTCATTTTGCACATCTCTGATGTTGCTGCTCTTTTCAAATATCCATTACTGTAAAAATGTCCATAGCTTTATATTGGTTATTTATTCTACAGTTTTATATTTATATTTACACTTTACAGTATTTCATTGTTTATCTTTTAACTCTTCACTATTACGTTATTCTCATACATTTTTCTTAGGTCCACATTTGTGACCATTTTTTTTTCTATAATCTTTTTG